GGAGAAGGTAGAAATGACTCAGCCTGTAACTGAAAATATGGATGGAGGACAACAGAGCTGCTTCATGGAAGAAGAACCTCAGCTTAGCCTGTTAACCTTCGCACTAGAGATGACGCTRTTTTGCCTTATATGTATTAGCTCGGCACTAGCGCGACAAACTGACAAACTAAACTGAGGTCCTCCATCCTGCTCGCTAACAGCATCACACCGATGACCTGTCGACGTCATCATTTACCCAGAACGCTTTGCGTGTAAATAAAATGGCTCAGTCCGTGTAATATATTTTCAAAAATTTAGTTWAAAAAATTATAAAAGTCGCTATGCTGTGGTGGCCATCTTGAATTAAGAAGAAAGTTGATCAGTTTTAGATGAGTAATGGTTAGAAGTTCTTTAAAATTTGTTCAGGGATTCATAAGATATTATGGCAACACAACATACACACGAAGATGTGGATTACAACATCAAATTTTTGCATTTTAGTGATGGGCATTAATACCTACAGATTTACTCGTCAGCACAGCAAGAAGAAGAGGTTAACAAAGCGCAGAGACTTGATATGACCAAAAAAAGTCCACAAACTTGGTTAAATGTTTGGTCTCAATCACAGCAGACAACCAATTATCAGCCTTCCTGCGATCTGCCGCAGAGGCCCATTCAGCAAATCGATAAAACCGAGGTTGGCCCTCATGTGGGAGCTATAACAACCTCCTTAATGAGGTCAAACACAACTGTGAACAAATACATCACAGCTGGTCAATGAGCTTCTTCATACAGTCCATCCACACAGTTGTTTTCTGAAGTGCACAGCTGATACACCTCCCTATAGGCATGCCTGCCATGTAGGACCAGGAGGAGACCCAATAAGTTCACATGCAAAAATATATATGGAGCTAAATGAAATTATCTCCATGTAGAAAAATGATCAAACTCCATCCAAAGGTTTTTTTATGGCTGTCACAAGCATCTGGTTAAAGTATGTGATAAATATTCAGTGTGTACTCTGTGTGTATAATTTTAACTCTACATAAACTTCAGAAAAGTCATGAAAACTTGTACAATAAAGTATTTTCTATATGATGTTTTCTAAATGTCCAAACAAATAAATCTTTACATTCCTTTGACCTTTCTGTCTGCAGGGAGCGTGTAAACGTCCGCTGAATGCATCTTTGCCTCTGCAGCTGGTTGATGACTGGCTTGGGGTCTGTTTCATAACAAACTTTTCTGCTTTACACCTACAGACGATGACTCGAAGACCCCCCATCTCTGTATAGAACTAGCCCACATGTGGGGAGCCGGAGGCCATGTAAGACGGAAAAAGTTGCGTGCTCCCTTTTTACATAATCCAATTAGAGGTAAATGATCATCAGACAGTGCACGGGATTACTCCTGCAGTCAAACAGCAGTGGATCGGCAGCACCTGGGAATGACTCATTTACCAGAAGGAAGGAACTACTGAGTGCCTCTCTGCGCAGAGTTCACCCACATAGAGCTGCAATTTAGGATCATTACTGACATAAATTAAAATGTATCCGACAACTTGGAATGAGGATTGAGATAAAAGATTTGCATATTAAAGACTGATCATATACAGTGAATTAAAAACCCATCTGCGAGAGATGGATGTTTATTCTTCCTGCAGTCAGATGGTTTCCTGCCTTTGCACATCTTGTCAGTGTTTTCCAATGGGGGTGGCGGCAGGCGGAAGCACCAGCTACGATCCCAAATACCACCTCCTACATTTTCAATTTCATCTCGTCTTCCCATAGAAATCACATCATACGACTTCTGGGAAGTTGGAACTGCAAGGGGACGAACATCTGAATAGTCTGGGGCCTGTGCACCTTTTAGGTCCCGCCCCTTTTTGTGCAAACCAACAGCATGATCATGTGAGGAAACTAGGTGGGAATTTTCTTCAGTGTTTCTACATATATGTGACCCATCACATCAAATCAAGGATAAAAAGTCAGGTTTAATCAAACTAAACTAATTACCTGGGTCAGATTCATGGCCTTTTAAGCTATATCTTGATATCTAGATCATCCTGATATAAACAGTTCCAGAGATATGACTGGATTTGTATAACAAAAATGGAAGGCCCCTGGAAAATTAGCCTGAATCGCATTTTTTGCATATTCTAATGAAGATTTTGTGATGTCATTTGAAAGGTGAAACCTCAAACCATATTTGGATATCATGGGCTACCAGCTGGTATTGAGAATAACTTTGCTAACGTTCAGGGAAAGTAGACAAATGTAGTGGTTTTCTGCTCAAAGTAAATAAATACATAGATCTGGCATTTTTAAGATCATCTTCCAGACCATTCCACAATCCTATACCCTGGATTAAAGTACATATTTCTCTCAAGCAAGTACAAAAATATGGCTTCACAAACATTTCCATCCCCTTTAGATAATAACAACTGTCTCTCTTCACAAAGTTTACCTAAAATGTTGGAAGGTAAAACGTTTCTGTGAGCCTTGTACATAAACAGTAAAATATTATAGTCAACCAAATAATAGAATTTCAAAATTTTCAATTTGCAAAATAATGTATTTGATGGATGATTGTAATCTTTTTGAGTGATAATTCTTATGGCTCTTTTCTGTAAAACCAAAATTGGATTTGTAATTGTTTTGCAAGCTTTACCCCAGACTTCAATACAGTTAATTAAATGTGGAAGTTTATTGAATTGTACAACACAAGCAAAGCTTTGTCATTAAATAACTCCCTGACTTTATACAGTACTCCAATAGATTTAGATATTTTTGTTCTTAAGTAATGTATGTGAATCATCAATGATGACACCCAGAAATGTTTTTGGCTGGAAAACTGCCCTGCAAAAGAATAATTTCTTATATTTTTATCACTACTCTTGAAGACATTTTGGGTTTAAAATGCCTCCAAAGATGGCCCCAACCTCAATGGCATTTCTGAATACATGTGAGTCAGTATAAAAACAAAATAAAAGTATTAAAGTGTACTGTGGATGTAATTTTCATTCATAAAAAACTGCATACTACTTTTTTTAAAGTGCACTTCTCCCAGCAGAGCACTCTCACCTCTGTCTGTGTCGTAAAGATAGACGAACCTCTCCCACTTGTAATGATCCAGCAGGTTGAGGACAACCCCCTTCAAACTGGGCCTCATCTGGAGGACAAACTGCACGTCAGCGTCGATGGGGAAGCTGGGCGTGATGAAGGATGTGTGCAGAGCCCCGCAGAAGGAGGTCAGCGTGTTCATGGATTTCCGGTCATAGAAGCCGAAGATGGCGTATACTCCTCTGGAGAACTGGGAACAGACTGGAGAAACAGAAAAAAACCACTCAAGTCACAAAGTAGTTTAGATGTAAATTTTGAGGCATTTTGCTGATAGTGTAAGTTTCAAATGGGCGGATTTAGATGGCATTAATCATGTGAGTAAAGTAGCAGCTAGCTAAATAAACATTTGCCCCATTGGACGTCAGCTCTCCGTGGTCGTACTCTGCTGCCCTTCACTTGTCTTTCCTGTTAATGCAACTGCTTGGTTAATCAACCAGAACTAACGGGGAACTCAGAGCACCGGACACATCTTTTAATGGACAAATACCCTGAAATACGAGCATGCAAATGYTCCAGCACTGGGCTGTGCAGCACTATGAAAGATTTATAACGAGCCTTATCTGTGCCCATCTGTAGCCTGGTAGAAATGGGTTTTGGCTTTTCAAATATAAGACACTTGGTTTTACAAGATGTTAAGTATTTTATTTTATTTGAACGTGAAAAATAGGCTTAAAGACATTGGCTACCCATCAGGTCTTTGAAAAGTTCTGCTGTGTACCAACAAAAAAAAAACTTTTTAACTTATATTGAGAGTTGTATAAGGGCAAAGTTTTAAAATTATGAGTGTTTCTACATCCAGTAAATAACTGTTCAAAAACATCCATCTTAGGTCTAAGATCACTCTGACTGCTGTCTGCTGCAGGTAAGATACTCATCTCATAACCTCTCCATACTACCATTCATTTAAAAGCAAAAATCTCTACGAAATACAAATTTAAGGAACAATCTGAGCATTACAAAAAGCTACAAAAAATATCTGGGGAGTATATATTCAGATATTTTACTCAAATGGTAAATATTTTTGACCTACTTTTAGAACTTAAAACAACATCTGGAGAATTCCACAGTCAATTATCACTATCTCCTCTGGCTTCATTTTCTATAATGAGATTATTTTAAAATATAATTTTCTTTGTTAAACAGCGTTTCCAAACATCATTTGAAAGACGAGCCTTGAAAGTTGAATTTTCTGCCTTTCTGAATCTGGCTCCGTAAACAGTTCTCAGCTGTAATCAAGAAAGTACGGTTCAAATTGTTGGAGGCACAGTGGAACAGCATTGTTGCCGCACAACATGAAAGTTGAAGGATAAAACTCAGCTGGGGCTTGACTGTTGGAGGAAACTGGAGTACCGGGAGAGAAAGATCTGCATTAAGAAAAAAACAGTCCCTTACTGCAGGAAATACAATAGGTACCAGCTCCAACACAACTCTGAACAGAATTGAATAAGTAGAGAATGGATGGATGGATGGATGGATGGATGGATGGATGGATGGATGGATGGATGGATGGATGGATGGATGGATGGATGGATGGATGGATGGATG